ACGGCAGGCCAAAATCCGATAACGGGTTGTCATGAATAATTAAGTAAGTAAGTAATTAAAAATGTTCATATATTCTTTAAATATATTATATGAACTTACATATATATTATTATATGTTTTAATAATTCAATTTATTTTAAAACCATGCTGTAATAAAAATGTCGTAAATGAAAAGTAATATAAAGAAATGCCGCATCACAAATTAACTGACGATCTAAAATTTTCATAAATCTCTGAGTGGTTTGAGGAAAATACAAAACAAAACCAAATAAAAATTGCTGGTCAAATTTTAATTTTTTTTTTTCATATATTAACAGCAACCATATTACATTGTACCTCTGCGGTTAGAACCGAAATTTTCCATATACCCAAGGAAATAATGAAGCAAATATGCCTGCAGCAAAATGTGTGCTAATTCGATAGTAAAAACCATTTTATTACCAACATTTTCCAATTTTTTCTCTCCATTTCCTACGGTGTAAAACGTTCAAAATGTGAAATATAAAGCTCTGGCCATATATAATCGAAAATACATATTACCAACCAACCAACCAACCAACCAACCGACCAACAAAGCAACCTACCCAAATAGCTAAAAAAAAATCAAAATACAAGTGTAAAAAGGAAACATAGGAAAAAGGCCATCAACGCCATCTGCAAGTGAGAATAGCATACGGCAACGTGTAGTACTGGACAAAAAGCGGCCAACAAATCTACAAAGGAAGAACATTGTACGAGCATCACCCTCACAGGATCAACATTACATGAAGCGGACGCGGACGCGAACGCAGCAGATTTGCTGGGAAAACAAATGCTCAGCTACGTACGTACGCTCATGGTACGGTACGAATGCCACATGCATTCTGAGGGGTCGGCTGGCGCGGGACGCAAAATGTTAATAAATCTTATTTTTATCATTTGGCTATAAATACTGAATTTTTAGCCATTGCCAATTTATGACCATTATTTATGTACGAAAAAAGGTTAAAATATTTTTCTCGCATTTCCACTCAGCTGCAATTGTGGCTACAAAAGAAATTGACAATTCTTTAGCTGTTAACTAATTTTTTTATATACCAATAATATATCATATCAATATATTATATTCACTCAATGATTAGAAGAATAACATAAATATTATTAAATTACTAGTCCATGCATATATACTATATATAGTATATAGTCAATCAAAAGTATAAAGCATATTCTTATGTATATAATTCTTTATTTAAATATGGCACAAAAAAAATGCACAGAAAAATATATCTGCAGACTATATTTGTGCACATGAAAAATTGTATTACACCTTAATAAACACCTCAAGTTGCAAAATACTTTTAAAATGAAGCTGCACAATTTGAAAGATTAACCTCAGACAAGTCAAGGCACCGCAGTATGCAAGGCAGTAAAGAGCCTTGCATAGTATCGAGGTGCACATGCAACTGACTACAAACCGACTAGCAACTGGCAACTGGCAATTGGCAATTGGCAACTGGCATCAATATCTGCACCGATAAATCAGCCAATCTCGACTAGCAACAACACAATGCCCTCTAGTGGCCATAATAAAGATCGTTAAACGCTTAAGTGGGAATCTGGTTAAGCCTTGTTGTTTCAAATTTCTTGCTATTCGTTTTTAATCTGCTGTTATTACTCCAATGGCCCGCTCTCATCTTGAGCTGGCATAAAATTGTTAGAAACGCCTACGAATCATTTTGTAATAACGATTTTTCCATTAAATTAATAAATTAATACGATCGTGCAAAGTGTGCAAATTGTACAAGGATTTTCGAATTTTTATTTATTTACGTTATACCTACGAGTATTCACACACAAATATTTATATTAATTGCATATACTAGTATTTATTCTTTTTGCAGATACATCTGCTGCCATATTTTGATTTTGGTAAATACTCATAGTTTATGTGAGATATTTTAATAAAGAGTTAACCTGTTGATTTACGTTTAAACAAAACATAATTGATGTATTGCATAAATAACACTGAATAGGAAAAAGAGGCTGAATAATAAATATAATAACAAATGAAAATTAAATTGTCAACATCATTTACTAAACAGATCAAGTAAGACAGATCAAGGAAGATAGATCAAGTAAGACAGATCAAGTAAGACAGATCAAGTAAGACAGATCAAGGAAGATAGATCAAGAAAGATAGATGAAGTAAAACAGATCAAGTAAAACAGATCAAGTAAGACAGATCAAGGAAGATAGATCAAGTAAAACAGATCCAGTAAAACAGATCAAGTAAGATAGATCAAGTAAGACAGATCAAGTAAGACAGATCAAGGAAGATAGATCAAGAGAAACAGATCAAGTAAAACAGATCAAGTAAGACAGATCAAGTAAGACAGATCAAGTAAGATAGATCAAGTAAGACAGATCAAGTGAGACAGATCAAGTAAGACAGATCAAGGAAGATAGATCAAGTAAGACAGATCAAGTGAGATAGATCAAGTAAGACAGATCAAGTGAGACAGATCAAGTAAGACAGATCAAGTGAGACAGATCAAGTAAGACAGATCAAGTAAGACAGATCAAGGAAGATAGATCAAGAAAGATAGATCAAGTAAAACAGATCAAGTAAAACAGATCAAGTAAGGCAGATCAAGTAAGATAGATCAAGTACGACAGATCAAGTGAGACAGATCAAGTAAGACAGATCAAGGAAGATAGATCAAGTAAGACAGATCAAGGAAGACAGATCAAGTAAGACAGATCAAGTAACACAGATCAAGGAAGATAGATCAAGTAAGACAGCTCAAGTAAGACAGATCAAGGAAGATAGATCAAGTAAGACAGATCAAGTAAGACAGATCAAGGAAGATAGATCAAGTAAGACAGATCAAGTAAAACAGATCAAGTAAAACGTTAAAAATGTATTCATCTTAAAAATGATCTTAGGTAACATAGGTAGGTAGGTAGGTTGAAGTGACGACCTTGTTTCTAAACAGCCCAACTGAGTTTAAATGATGGCCCGTCGTTGTACCACAGGAATAGCATTGGTACGTACATAGATTTAAATCTATATATAGCCAACACCATTAGGTAAAAGAAAACCAACCTGACAGTTCTATAAACTTGGCCAGGTCCCTAACATTATAGGATAACAGCTCAGTCAGATCGGTGAGAAAAGGAAATCCGAAGATTTTTAATCTTCTCCTAGCTAAAAAACTCTAACTCTAACACATAAGATGGAGCACAGTCCCCTCCTCATCCTCAGAGCCACAACTTCGACAAAAATCATTATAGGTAGACCCAGTCTCATAGCATGCAGTGTCCCGTAAACACAGATACCGTTGTGCTGAGCAGATTCCGCTTTAGTTGAAAAAGCTGACTAGTTCGTTTCTTGTCTAAATTAGACCAAGTCAATCTAGATATCTGACAATGAGGTTCATCAGCCCAGTACTGCTTGGCTATACTTAGATATTTTTGTTAATTTAACATTTTAACTATAGCAAGTAAAACGCTTATATCTGAGAAATGAATGTTAGGAAGAAGAGCGCCTGCCTTGGCGAGGTCATCTGCCATACAATTACCTGAGATATCCCTATGAACAGGTACCCAAATGATCTTATTCGGGTACATTTTTATTTTTCAATGAAACGCAATTAAAAAAAACAACACTCCTAATATAAAGTTAATTTTTTATTTACAAAATTGTGCTCAACTTACTTTAAATATATGTATATTGTAGACTGAAAACAAGCAACAGTCAAAGTGCTGACTAACAGCACTAAACGTTATAAAATTATTTGCAAAATAAAATTGATATTTCTAATAAAACGCTTCTTAGTTGAATGCCTTTATTCAGCTTTCATTGAACCGATAAAATTCAAAAACTGCAGTCAAAAGATATTACAAAATTTATCAGCACCCTTGATGTATATCCGGATTAGACTAAGATACTTTTTCCATAAATAAGAAAACAGAACTTTCAATGTTCCTTCTAGTTATTATAATACTATTTTCTGAATTTTTGTCCGAGTTAGACTGAGACACTTTTCTATAGATACAAAAACAGACCCTATAACTTCCAATATTTCCTTGTTGATTTTAATTATAACTGTGATACAGTTAACATAAATAGAAAAACAAATCTCATAGCTTGCGGTATACGAATGCTATTTCTAATTATAAAATAATAATACTGTTGTCTGCGTCTATCACTATGTTAGGTATGAATCCTATTTCTGAGACAACTCCATTCTACTATACAATGAATTTATATAAAATCGCATATTCCAAGCATTTTTTTAACTGTCACTATAGCTAAATTTTCCAGATATAGATAGAGGTATAGAGTTTGAAATTAGTACATGGCTAATAATACGTCGACACGCCACCTGGCACTTATCTCGAGAACTAAACGGCAGCTTTAATAGGCAGCTTTACTTAAATCAGCTGACAAATCGGGGCGCTCCGAAAATAGAAAATTTGTTCTGAGTTACATTAAGCATATTTTCTTTTCAGGGGTAAAGCAATAGAACTTTAAGATCGTAATATACTAATTATAGTTTAGAGTTCTAATACAATACGAAATTATATCAAAAGAACTATCAAAAGAATATTGTAAAACGACTGCTTACAGTACTTTAGACTATAACTGGATCTATGAAATACTTTTTTAATATAGAATTAGCGCCTATTGCACATTTGGGCAACCCTGACGGATGACTACCTTTGACGAGAACGATAAGGAATCAATTTACCAACTGTTCCATTATATAACTCTTACCATATATATCATATATGTATGATTTTATAGTTTCAATATATTGAATATAAAAATCAAATACACTCATTTGCAAAATATGTACAAAGCCTGTAATTAAGCTCATGAAACTAATGTAGGTAGTATAGTTGATGGCGTTGTTGTTGTAGTCTTTTTATTTGAAATTATGTTGTTGTAAATTACAAGCAGTTCTTTAAACTTACATTGGAGCAATCTGATTGGATCATCACTGATGTCGTTTGACTTATTCTTCTTCTTCTCGTTTTTTACACTTGCACCAATGCAGTTTAGAGTTTGCAGCTTGTGCTGATGGCTAAGATGGCAAGTTGGTTAATAAAATTGGTGCTTAAACGAAGCCACTCATTGCCATTTAGCAATATCAGGGCGGCATAGCAGGTTAAATTACCGGCAGCCACAACAACAAGAAACAACGATGTTGTAAGCAAAAAAAAAAAAAATTATGTATTTCTTCAGCAGAAGAAGAAGAAGAAGAAGAAGGCAAGGAAAGATATAAATTGCACATGGCCGTTCTGTGTAATTATTTTGAACCTCGAGTGTACATTTTCCTTCGCCCATGCACTTTAATTCGCGTATGCATAGTTAAGTTGCTGGCAACATTGCAACAAGTGCTGTGGTGCGGGGCTTGAGCATGAACACCAAATGGCTGTGAAGGTTTTCAGTCGCGGTATTGTAAAATGGAGCTGAGTCGCGCTTACCACGAAACGACGGTTACTGCATTGTGCCAGCCATTCCGTCTGGTTAACATTTTACAAGTGGGCAACACCCATTTTTGTAATTCCTTTTCGGAGCTTTTTTATTTTTATTTTTTTACTCTTAAGGTGAGTGGCTTTGTAAGCCGATCTTTAATGGCTTTTTGATCGTACTGTGTTGGTGCAATATCCAATGTGATGTTGCACGAGTTAAATGGAAATGTGATAAGGTTAAGAGATTATTGCTAAAATTTTTTTATTATGTAGTTAATATGAAATTTATTTGGGAATTTCGTGGTGTTGTTTTCAAATTTAAGTTTAAGTTGTTCATGTGAGGCAAATTACAATAAAAAAAATTAAAAAAATAAAAACATTAATTATAAATTTGT